TACTGTTAACTGTGATATATATTAGGGCTGCAGCGATACAGGAAATTTATGATTCGGTTCGGTTCAATACTTTAGTCTCACGGTTCGATATTGTTTTGATACAAAAAAGAGAAATGTCCATGCCCCTTTTAATTTGTAATTTATTTAAATTAATTATGAACGTTTGTTTAACCTCAAAAGTCCACTTTTTATTAAATTAAATGTTGCTGAAACAGCAAGTTTCTCAGTGGATCTGTGCTCGAAAATGCAACCTTGGTGGAGTAGTCGAACACAGATCCGCTGATCCTTTAACACAGAGCATCTTCAGAAGACAAGCTGATCAAATAAATAAATAAATAAATCTGTGTGTATTAAACAGTTCGCAACGGGTACATGTATTGCTGCACCCCTAATACAGTTTATACGATATATACTGTATACACACACCAGAAAAATTTATAATTAACAATGATCTAAAACCAGACCTGAGTGAGTCAATTATTATTAGCTAGTTTAAAAATTATGACTTAAAAGGACATATTTATTATTTTTTACTGTCAGCAAAATATTATATGAAACACCTGGTGGATTTTAAATAACCTTTAAAGAAAACATCACTGTTGGTACGTCTACAGCTGATTAACTTTTCCTCTCAAGATGGTCCTCACCCCGCTAAATAAAAACTTTTTTTTTACCTTCGTCTTCCATATGTCACAGACCGACATGCGAGTGCAGGACCAGCACCTGGCGAGGCAGCTCATGCGCCTCCGGAGTGACATCAACGCGCTGAAGATCGAGCAGACGTGCCACCTGCACCGCCGCATGCTGAACGACGCCACCTTCAGCCTGGAGGAGAAGGACGAGCTGTCGGACCTGCTGTGCGAGTGCCCCGTCACGTCGGAGCTCGGGCTCTCGGCCCCGCTCAGACTCATCGGGGTCACCAAGATGAACATCAACTCCCGGCGGTTCTCGCTCTGCTAGGCGGAGCTTTGGGTGGAACAGAGTCGGACAGGATGGCTGGTTTAACGCTAACGTTGATCCATATGTTGACGCAAATATATATGTATATATGTATATGT